CTCAGCCAGCCATGCTGGCTGGGGAATTCTGGGAGTTGAAGTCCACTCATCTTAAAGTGGCCAAGTTTGGACAACACTGCAGTAGAGAGACAAGTGTGACTCTCTAAAGTACTTCTTAAAAAAGGTAAAGGACAATTTTCACTTAATGCCAAATATTTGTCAAATATTCCCTATATGTCAACATAGACTTTGTAAGAGAGGAAGATGGATATGAAACCAGACATTGTTGGGTTCCATCTGCAGTGATCCTTTCGTTCCACCTGCTATATGAGCCATCAATAACTCTGCACAAATATTATTTTAAAATCTACTCATATTTATAAGAATAAATGCCACCAAACTGGTTAAAACTCAAAGCAAACCAAGGATTTATTCTTAAGCAAAATTTCAGTAATTAGTTTAAGGATCACTTGGAAGCTTCTTCAAGTTCATGACTTCTACCTGGAGTTTTGTCAACATATCCAGACCAGAAACAACCAGAAAAATCTTCCAATGAAAGTATGTCCTCTAATAAAAGGAGAAAAGGAAAGCAGCCAGAGTTTAGTGATACAGCAAAGAAGATTCTGTTCTGTCTGCACACATGCATTGCGCACACACATGGACACACACTACAATGCAAATGTTTGTCTTACTGCAATGTCTTCCACCTCTTGCTCTTGGCTTTGGGGAGGTGACTCTAGCTTGTTTCATACATAGCAATATGGCAAAATGTTCTCCTAATTGAATATACAGTCACCCAGAATACTTGCTTGCAGTTTTTCAGGGAATATATATATATATATCTCCCCCTCAAAGCTTTCTAGCGATCCTGAATGTGCTTAATTAATCTTACTGTGAATCCATTTTTAAAAAATGTTTCCCATGAATGCTTATAACATAAGTGAGAGGTATAATGCAGCTGACAGCTATAAATCAGAGAATGTTTGTTTTAAAGCAAATGACAGGTAGATTTGGTTGCCTTTTGGTAGGCATAGAAGTGGGCCCCTTCCCCTTACATAGTTTCATTCTCTTTGACATGCTTTCTTTGTAATGCAGCAGCAGGAAATATGTGAGACTTCGGCAAGTTTGATAATATCTGGAGAAAATGGATAAAACTATAACCAAGGAACTTGAAGTGAAAGTTACAGCAGGTGAATAATGAGAAGAATTGCTCAGAAATGTCTCCAAAAGAGTTTGCCCTCCTTTATTTGTTAGCACCCCAAGTGCAGCTGACCTGAAGGAGGTCTGTGTAAGGAACCCAAGCTTGGGAAATGTTAGTGAAGCCACTTCAGGAA